CATGAATGCAAACTTGTTGCAGCATGTATGCCTTAATCAGTGCTTTGAGAGTGATGGCTGCTTGACTCATTAATTATATTGTGTGAAGTGAACTTGAGCACCTCTTCCTCTTGCAAAAGTAATTGAGCTCAGCATATTGGTTTATCATTTAAGTAGCTGTAAATGTAAAATAAGATTTTTTTTTATTTTCCCTGCCTTTTGAGTTCATGTAATGAACTCAGATCTGGGACTAAAGAACTAAAGAACTGTGAATTAATCACGTAACACTCATAAGGCAGCTAATGGAAAGTTTAGGTGAACTTCAGGTGAACATGTAAGAGCCTGTGAATCATAATGCTAATATTTATTTAAAGCCTTTGTCCCCCTACGAGGGGCAGTGGGAATTCAGGGGCTGTGGGAAAGACTTAAATCTTTTAACACTTCTTGGAGTGGCTGAAGAAGCCAGTCCTGGAATAGCATGATCACCCAATCTACCTAAACTGGTGAGCTTGTGGTCAGGTCTGCTTCTTGTATTAGCATACTAATACTCTAATATTAGTATAATATATAAACATATATTTTTTTATTTTTTGCAATAATTCTGTGATGCACAATAAGGTTAGCAAACAATTCTGGGTTTCTCAATCCATGTATGTCCTGAATACCCTTGAATTAGTAGGTAAAGGACCAGAAATATGTCTGAATGAAGACTATCCCTTTCCTGCCTGATATCTCTAAACATCAAGTAAATCGATAATATACTGTACTTTAAAACAAAATGAACAAATCAAAGTTTAATCAAAACTGATCCAGTGTGAAAACAGGCTAAAACGAATGGATGTTTTATATCATCAAAACAAATTTAAATTCTAAATAGGACATTTAGGAGATGCTGTTAATTGCTTTAGATTTCCAGATAAGATGCTAAATGTTGTTATTATAAACTGTTTCTTTTAAATATACTGTACTATATGTGAACTCAGAGACATACTGTATCAAAAGTACCATTGTAAATAGGAGAGGCCCCTGTGTTTAATGGCATTTTAAAACTTCAGTGCTTGTACTTATGACCTGGCCTAGAGAACCCCCAACTCACAAACCCTTTACAGTCTCCTACCTACGCCTCTGCCCATGCAGGTTATGAATAAATTGATCTACTCCCCTTTGTCTCAGAAATGAAAACTAAATTCCTGCCTGTGCACAAATTGTCTGCAAGGCAGAGCAAGCCATCTGGGTAAGCTTCTCTGAGATACTGTTAAATCCAATGTGTTTATATTACCTTTTTTTAAGCATTTCTGAAGCAAAATTCCTTATACTGTACAGTTAATGTTTCTTCTGGTTTTATATACAACCACCAGGAGAACTTTACTTAAATATGTCACTCTGTGAAAAATAAGATTAAAGTTTTAAGTCACATATACGTAGGATCCTTCTATACAGTATGTGCTACCTAAAAATATGTTAGCAGAAAGTACTGCATAAGCTTGGAAAATTTACTGAAAATATATTTGGATTCTACATCAAAATGTAAAATACTGTATGGAGCAGTATGAAATATTGCAGTATGAAAGTTAAATGGAAGGTTTATGTGAAAAAAGATTTAACCAAGATACCTTATGTATTGTAAACAAAGTAGAAATAAGAATGCATACACAAAGGCTTGAATATTTTTTCTTAAATTATTTTAAAATTGACAGATTGTAGAACAACAGTCCATACATTATCAGAAACGACTTAAAGGTATTATAATCAGGGTTTTTCAGTATCTGAACATTCAAACATCTATGTTTGTCCCAGCAGTAATTCATGTATGTATTATATATGTATATACATCATTTATGTACAGTATACAAGTATATCTATGTTTATAATGTATTGTGTATGTTTATGTCTTTATGTATAATAACTGCAGGATTACTGTATTTGTATAGGATTCGACATCACCCTGTAATGCTTTGTGTGTGTACTTCATTTAAATGCTGAATCGTTAAATAAGGCTGAACAAATAACAGATCCCACTTAAGTACCATTATAAACCAAGCCCATCCAAAATGCTGCAGCTGTACCCTGGTGACAGTGACTATTTTCATGACGATGATGCACCTGTCCAAAGCAACAGATTGTGTGTGAATGTTTTGAGGAGCATGAAAGACACTACAGACATCTTCCATGGCAACCAAAATCCCCTCATCTTTGTCCAACTGAGCATCTTTTGGATGAACAACGTTCAGCCATCAGAAGCATCCTCTTCCTACCTCTTTTCATCACTTGCATGAAATATTGATAACTGAATGTACTGACATTCCTCAGTAACTTTCTGCACCTTATGGAGTCTATGATATGCTGTGCCAAAGTTGTTGTTCGGGCAAACAGTGACTCAGCCTAATATTCAGTGTCCTGTCATGGAGCTTAATGGTGTATATCTGTACATTTTGTTTGTTCTCTCTGGCCAATTTGGCAATTCCAATTGCCCTAAAAGGAGATTTTGATATATGAGGAATGCCATGTAACCAGTAAACGTGGGCACAAGATCTAGTTAAGACACAGCAGAAATCATCTACCTGTGTTTTAAAGGAATGGAAGAATTCTCTCGCAAACAGAGATATATTTTGCCCACAACCAAAAGACATCATCTGAGTATGCAATGACCTTTTGGACAGATGGAAATTCTGCCTTGTTACAAAAGCTACTGTTTGAACTTTTGTCCTCGTCTTCTTGTTTGCTAACTCTGAAGTAATTCTGTGTTCGTTTCATCAATAAAGCTGTTACCCGACATACAGTGACAGAATACTCATCTTGGATTTGTGGTTTTATCACATTGCCTTCGAAGAACTGGAAAGAACTGTCTTATAAAAGTATCGTTCCTCCTATAGTAAACTGCAAATAAGGCTCCTTTGACTTCAGGACTTCAAGAACTTTGTCAAGATTATTACACTAATATATTGTACACTGACAGCACTGCCTGGCTTAGGCCTAATGCTGAAGTCCTGAGCTAGAAGATCAAGAAATGAACTGTGGTATGATATATTCTGTCCATTCTGGGCTTCATCCATCCACTTCGTCAAGCAATACATTTCCCTTCAGAAACAATGTAAATGCCTTCATTTTAGCATGAAAATTGACAGAGTTCGTATATTGTATGGTTCAGGAAATTAATTGAATGTTTGGACATTGTGAATACAGTATATTTGCCTTAATTTAGATCACGTTGTTTGAAAACATGGAACTGAGAACCAGGTGTTGTAACACAAAGTATTTGGAATATTTATGCAAATTGAACAGTGAAGATGGATATCTGAAATTATTCTAAAATTGGGAAATAAACCTGATTAAGCGAATGATATTTGAATAAATTTCAATGTTGAGATTCCCCTGCTTGGTGGATCACAAATAGAAGAATAAAGTGCAATTTTGAGTTTATTTCCTTTCCATTTCCCTTTCATCTCTTAGGGAGTAGAACCCATTGGGAGGAATAAACACAACATACTGAATCCAGTAACAAAACTTTAATGTGTTCTATAATACAGTTATCAGTGTTAAGACAGTCCTTCCTCTCATGCTGCACAGCAAGTCTACTGTTTTCGTATAATCCTTTCATTTGTTTTTTTTAGTCAATGTGTCTAACAATCTAAAGATGACTATAATGCTTGTTTTGATTTTAAGAGATATTGGAGATAAACGTTAATCATCTTTGAAGAACAGAGTTTATTAAAAAAAATAGTAGTCCTACTATATATACATGATGATTGTGCAAAAAGTAGTGTTTAAAGCAAACACTGAAATATTATTTGTCCCTCATTCTTAGCTTAAACTGTTAAATTAATTGTTTTTGGCTATGTGAAAATAATAACTTTCAAGCAGGCAATATTTAGTCAATGGCTGCTAGAAATTATTTCAATTGAAACAATCTATGCCTTTATTTTCCAAATGGGCTACTATTCACTTCAAAAACTGTGTGATGGTGTGTTTGCATATGGTCGAAGTTTACATGTCCATTGGTAACCATGGTACTGTATTTTTTAATAAATCAAGCAAATAATTCAAATGAAAGCAAAACTAGTAAACGTTTTGCCCATTTATAGACACATTGCTGAATTCTGATTTTTTTTTTAGAGGAAGGTTTTCACACCCCTGTGTTGGAAAGAGTCCAGAGTTAATATTATTACGATTCTTCATGATCCTCAGAAGCTTAGAGAACATCCTTGTTTTTCAGCTGAGAGTGATAACAGACAACATCATTTTCAATCCATGGGTTTGAAAAGATTCAAGTCTTTGAAACATTGATTTAGAGTGGTCCAGAGTTGAAAAATATATCTACAGTATGTTAAAATCAGAATTTATAGGTCAAAGCAAGTATTGGAGAAATTGAAGTTTACATAGAATTAGATTTATTTTTTTCATTGTACCATCCAATTTACAGTAAGTGTTCTGTGAGCTGATCTGGGAGGTACCGGCTATTTATAAATAAAATATCTCAGCACTGTCTATCTTTTCCTTTTCCTAAAGAAGCAGATTCTTTCTGGGTAAAGTGATCTCACCTTGATAATCAGTCAAACTGCTTCGATGTTTTGTGACATGTCCTTCAATTGTTACTTGTTTGGTAAAAATGTTAAGTTTGAAAATGTAATATTATTTTGTAATTCTCATATAAGAAATATTTGTGTTTCTAGATGAATAACATACGTAAGCAGAAGTGAAGAAATATTGTTCTGGGGTTTATTGTTTGGTCTGGGATGCAATAGGACTCATAGCTTTACTCATTATCAGGATCCGATAACAGCACATTTATTGGTCACAAAACTTGTAGGAATCTAGAAACAAGTCTTTTAAATCTTTTTTTGTGGAAAAGGGGCATAGAAATTATTATACAATGTAAGCAACCTATAAAATTAAGCTAAACTGGTAATGTTTTGAATCCAAATTCATTCATAACCCTGACCCACAGCATGGCTTAGGTACTCAGCATTGCCAGTTTTAAATGCATTCTCCTTGTACTAAGTTATAACCTTTTTTCATTTTAGGCGCCCGTAGCTTAGCTGGTGGGCGTAAAATGTACGGTAGGTCTGGTAGGGTCCTTTTCTTAAAAGTTTTTCTTTGTTTGTTGTTGATAAATCTGTTTACAACGTCTCTGTGTAATATTGTTATTTGGATTAGTGACAGATGAGGTCAAAACCATACACTTATGGTAGCAATTTCAAATATTAATATGGAAATAATCCCATAGTATAAATATAGCTTTAATAGTTTGATCATATAAAAGTGATTTAATTTCTTTGTCACAAAATAATTAGTATTTCCTTAAAAATACACGTTTTAACAATGATAAAATCATTGTTTTGTTTAAATATGTTTGGATTCAGAAAAAATCGTTTATTCTTCTCTGGAGCACAAAAAAACTTTTTTTTTTGAAAATCATCATGTTAATGTTTTGCTCTTCTTTTTGCTCAAGTGTGTAATTTAAAAAAAAAAAACATTTTAACAGAATTCAGAAGCGGCACTAACAAAGAATAACACCAACATAAAACATATGAAAGTTTGCTGACCTCTTCTGTAATAATCAAGTACAGTGAGATGAAAAAAGAAGTTAAATCTAATTTAATCTTAATTTCAAAGATGCCAAAAGTAAGAGAAATTACTGCCTTGTCTTTCGTTATATAATTTGGTATTAATATACTTTAGGAACAGAAGCAGAGTTCATTTCAGAGTAGTTACTGTGCACACTTGTAATGTCTTAAGGGCAAGTTTTATCTCTTGTCTTTTGTAATACAAACAGTTCATGATGTGCTTGAATGTAAACGTCACATGTTAAGCATGCAGATATTTTCAGTGCATTAAATGTATCTTTTCTAATTGTCTTTAACAAAAGTGTTTTATTATCGGTGTTAGCATTCCAGTGTACTTTATTGATCTTTCATCAATCATGTTTAAGTATCTGGTGTCTATTTCCATTTCAGACTGTTGTAGAAATGCTCAGGAGACTGGACAATTATTCCATTATTCATTAGTTAAAATTCTGTGTAGATGGTACAAAGAGCATTAGATCTGTTCTATAACAGTTTTAGGACAAGGTAATTACTTCTTAACTTCTTCTTAACCTCACTGGTAAAGTTACTTTCTTATTATTGTTCAGTACATTTTGGAATTTATTGACGACATAGGAAGATTGCCTTTCTAAAACAGTGCACATTTATGACGTACGAACTTCATACAAAACCCTTTTCTTTCTACGGTAAATAGTTCCGAAAACAAGAAAAGCTTTATAAAGCTTTATGTACTGTAGAAGGAGAACTTCTCACTACCTTTACATCCCAAATTGCAACTACTATCTTGTTAATAGCATGAAAGCAAAAACATATTCTATTCATGTGAGTAGTCATATTTCAGTAGTTCAGCCTAATCCTAATTATTGCATTATAGAGATGAAGCACATTAAAGTTTACTTAGCGTAATTCACGAGGATGAGGCTGACAGGCCCTCATTGTCTTCATGAGGAATGAGCCAGGGAGCTGCTGCAAGGGTGAAGCTGGGGTGGAGGGAGGAGAAAGGATGATTATGTTTAGATGATTATGATTATGGGTGAGATTCGAATCTGTCCTCACATGAACATTTTAAACTGTTTAAAACACTATGTGAGACAGTGTTGAAAAAGTGGGTAAAAGTCTATTGCAGTAAAAATAATTTCCGTTAGAATGGATAGGAGAAAAATAACATTTAAGACATGAGGCTTTAAAAATATTAGCACTACTTTTAGCATGTTCTGTAACCCTACTGGTACAGACCTACTTAAATGTATTTACTGAATAAATGCAACCAAAACACCATATTGACTGCTCTAACTTTTTTTTTCAAAACTGACTGTAACAGATAAATGTCATTTTTACGTAATGTGTACATATTTATTCTTTCCTTGAGGCAGACAATGAAACTAGTCAGATGACTACATCAGGATTTAAAAGAGGCACTAGTTACCAAATACAAATCTCTGTATTAATCTCTAAATTAATCATTCATAGAACTCTCTTTTAATGTTATGTTATTGCCTATTATAGTCTATTAATCTGTTAACATCTTAAATCCTATTAAATGAATCATTCTATAACAATAAAGAAAATAGCATTAGGATCTTATTATATTAAAATAAACGTTATTTAGCAAAAAGTGTTTTTATTAAGTCCTTAGGTAGCACGAATTTGACTGGAGCTTGATTTCATAGAGCCTTTGCTTTTGAAGTCTGTTATGGTTTTTTTTTCTGTTGGAAGGCTGTTACATTAAAGGCAAGAATTAGAAAAAATTCAATTGGGTTAGAAATCATTAAGTTTCTGTTTAGAGTTAAACATACTATATTGTAATCTGTCTCTGAGACTGCCACAGTGATTACAGGAGGAGAGTACAACAGATCTTTTAGTTTAAGAGAATGCTCTTCTGGTGTTATGGTGACATCACTGCCAGGAGCCAAGGTTGTACTAACTTCCTTCTTCAAGTGTCTCGGCACAGTTCTGTGGCGTCCATTCTTCGTCTTGGACGCCTGCCTTGTCTGCAATTTTTTATTTCACTTAATCAGCTCCAGGCAGCATGGTGGTGCATTGGTTAGCATTGCTGGGGCCCTGGATTCAATTCTAGACCTGGAGTATCTGTGTGGAGTTTGTATGATCTTCCTGTGTTTGTGGAGACTTCCTCTGGGTACTCTGGTTCCCCCCTCATGATCCAAAGACTTACTGGTAGGTTAATTGGCTTCAGGAAAAATTGGACCTGGTGTGTGTGTCTACCCTGTGATGGACTGGTTTAATAAATCCACGTTAACATCTTTGCTTTTTTGACAGCACGATAGTGTCTTTATGATAACTATGATTTTTAATGATATCAATAAGCTTGAGTAAAACAATAAAAATACTGACACGTGGAAAGAGATGTACTGTTGACAGATTTACAGTAAATTCCGTTACTTAAGTAATAAAAATATGTAATAGACCATTCAATCAACCTAAACACAACTTTAGAACAAAAATTATGGAAAATAATTCCATTAAGCATTTCCACATCATGAACATCTTACTGAAAAATCGCTGTCTCGGGTAATGTATTTTCTATATTTGTTCCAGCCGCAGTGGTGCTGTTACCTCCTGGAATTATGTTATATTTCATGGATATTATTCTTTAGACAGTTGCCTCCTTATCCTGAGATACTGTACTAATCATACTTCATAAAATGTTTAAAAAGTATTTTTAAAATGCCCTGAAGCAATGTAATGTTTGTCCAGTAAATATAAGCATTTTATTAATCTCAACCTGTCCCTTTGCAGTTTACAAGCTGACAAATCTTCTTACTCTAATACAGACCATAAAAAGAGTAAATATTTTCAGACACTGAGTATCAAAATCAGCTAAATAATATTCATTAGTTCTAAATGTCACTCTTCAGTTCTCTTGAGCAATATACTGTATATATATTCAAATATTAGAATTACTGAAGCAAATTTCTAAAGCATCTTTTTCTTAGTTCGGTCAGTGACCTCAATCTTATCTTGTTCATAAAATGTTCCACCTTGAAATTCCACTACCAAATAAAAAAAAACGATCCAGTGTGGTTAAATAATAAAACTGACGTAGCTATCAAACCATCGTCATAAGGAACAGGTAAAGTTTTATTCCGTGCTGAACTGAAAAGAAAAGAGACAATATTTTGGCTGTGGAGCCTGAATTTCATGTTTCGGTTCAACATTCTGAACCCTTTGACCATACGGCGGATGATTATTTTTGTGTTTATGTCATTCTGTTAATACTTTATTAATATATTACCTTTATAAAGGTAATTTTCCACCCCTTATTTCAAGTGTTACTCATATACAGAAGATATAGACAGGACCAAGCAGTGATTTCTAAATTTCAGGCACAAAGTAAAAAGAAAGAGGTGACACTCCTGAAAAGAGCTCCATAGCTGAAAAGTTCTGTTTTTTATTCTTATGTTTATTTTATTCTTATTTAATCTTGGAATTAACCTCAAACTGTCCCTTTGCAGCTCACATGCTGACAAATCTTCCTGCTCTGATAAAGTCAGTGCTTATTTTTTTTTATTAATTTTACTGCTTTTTAATTTTATCAGAGAAGAGCATGAGCATTTTAGTTCAATGAAATTTACGTTTTAATTTGGGGATGTAATGTTACCAGTGAACATTCAAAGACAAAGAGACACACAGCAGTTGGTTAAAGGTGCTTTGGTTGCATTAAATTAGTGTTGTGATTTCGACAGTCATCTTCCAGCAAAACAACTAATTAATCTTCCAGGAAAGTGACCAAAATGTCTTCATAGTCCATTTCCACATATATATATATAGCCTATCATTTTTCTTTACTTCCTGTCTGATATATAAGATATACTGTAATAAGTTCCCATTAATAAATCTCAATATAAATCTCAATTATGTATTTATTACATGGGTTTTATTACCTAGAGAGTGAAGATTTTTTACTCTTTATGTAGTGTTTTAGGAGGAAAGACAAAACTGTGAATACTATTATTCAAGTCAATATAATAATACCTTAATAATCTAATGTTATAATTCTAATGAAAATAATGGATTGAAATACTGGAGTTTATTGCAAGGTATGTTCATCGCCTTTAATATAAAGAGTCTTCCAAGAAATAGAAAAATTATTTGAACCTGACTACAATTAATAACTTTTATCACTTAAAGACAGATTTCAGTACAATGCAGTAGTTTTAGCATTCGCATTTACAAAAATACATAATCAGAGCTTCTGATTTTTAGTCTTTGTCCTTGGATTTCTACAATGCTTTATCATAAACATACTAATCAGGAAACAGTCATAATATACAGGGTTAACGGTTGTCTTTTAATAATGGGTGGGTTTTATTTTCTTTTTCACAAACATATAAAATAATACAAGATACTGTATACTGTAGAAGGCCAAAATTGTATAACGATGTGTACAAGGTTTCAATAAAATGACCCTTCTTCATAGGTGTGGATGTGGTACCTCAAATTATTGTTTTTTAGTTACACTTTGATTAGTTCTGTTTAAAATGGGACACTCCCAT